TTCTTTGATTAATCTCTCCCCACCCACTACCCAACCCCTGCCTTCCCCATGAGATTTGTCAGTCTGTTGCATGCTTCTAGGTCTCTGGATCTATTTTGTTCATCAGTTTATTGTGTTCATTATATTTCACATATGAGTGAGATCGTGTGATATTTGTCTTTCTCTGACAGTGTAAGGTACCAATACCGCAGGGGCATTTCCTAATGTGCCCTGGATGGTGAGGAACTTAATGCATGTTTTATTATAGGTAATAAATGCATGTAATTCAAAGCTATAAAGTATAATGTAGTGAAAAACCTGCTTCCCATCCCTGCCCCAAAGCCACCCACTTCCTCTCCTCACAGGCAGCCAATGGTACCAGTGTCGTATCTTTCCAGTAGTATAGGCTGGTAGAAGCATGTATATGTAGTGTATATCTATGCACATAAGAGTATACATGAATGTAAACATAGGTAACACACATATATATTATTTCCCCCTTGTAAGACAAGTAGTAGCAAACTACACACTGTCCCATCTTGTTCTTTGGCTTAATGTGTCTTGTAGGTGGTTCCAAGGTAGTATGTAAAGATTGAATTTAAAATGTTTTTCTTATGTTGAACTCATCAATATTCCTATTGTTATGGTCTATAATTTGGTGACAAGCTTTGAATAAACTATTTGCAGGTGTGTCTAAATGTGACCTATTTTTTTCAGAATGTTATTTCAATCTTTGGTGATTGAGTCATGGAGTCTCTAAATTCTTTTAACGTATATAACTAGAATATTCATTAATTTAAATAATTAATTTGGCACAATAAATAATAGACTTTGTTAAGGTATTGCTATCATCACTACCTGCACTTTATTTCCTGTGGGCAGGTGGCTGTCTGTAGGGAGGACAGGTGCAGTCCTTGGAATCCAAGCTCCCAGTGAGCTGGGACAGTGTCTTCTGGTCACAGCCTTGGTCTTCGTTAGAACGCTGCAAGGGTAGCCAGTGCCTGGAGAGACCCGTGGAGTGTGACCATCTGGTCTGGCATCTGGGGATGGAGAAGAGGTTGCACTGTGTCAACTTTGCTTAGCTGGGACCTTTCCCAGAGTTCTCTTGGTTCAAGGTTGGCTGCGAGAGAAACTGTACAGGGTTTGAGATTTAGAAGGTGGGAGTGAAACAATGGCCATCATGCTTGGAAGGTGGGTTAGGGCACCAGTTGCTGCTGTGGCTCAGACCTCATAGGAATCGACTGGGCCTGAGAATGGAGCATGACTGTAAGTCTTAAACACTCCTATTACAGGACTAATTTGGGAGTGTGGCTTCAAGAGTCTTACCTGTTATTGGAGGGCCAAGGAGGGAACATGGTTTGAACACTATTTTATTTTTTATTATTATTTATTTTTGAACATATCTTTATTGATTTCAGAGGAAGGAAAGGAGGGGGAGATAGAAACATCAATGATGAGAGAGTTATTGATCGGCTGCCTAGCCTGCAACCCAGGCATGTACCCTGACCGGGAATCAAACCCCGATCTCCTGGATCCTAGATCAATGCTCAACCGCTGAGCCACGCCTGGCTGGGCAACACCATTTTATTGTTAGAGTGCCAATAAGGAGGCGTCGCTAGGGGTGGTCTGATATGGGTGTGACTGGAGACCCAAGGCTCTGACACTAAGGAATTGTTTGGTCATAACTGAAAGACCCCCCTGGAAATGGAGTTTTCGGGACAGTGTATTGGTAAGGAGGCTCCATGGTGGGACAACCAGGGACTAAAAGCCTGACAAAAAGCAAGAAAGATGGTTAGGACATGATTCAGCAAAGACAACGATAGACATCTGAGAGGTAAGAGGAGAGATGCAAGAAGGGGATCTGTCACCAAAGCCAAGGGATGAGTAGTTCCAGATGAAAGTGGACTCCAGAGGAAGCCATATTTTCTGGGAGAAATCTGGAAGATTTCCTCCCCTCACCTGAAATCTCTGGATAGTTTCTAAATGTCCTCCCTGTATAAGGGATCAGACTTTCTAATAAATATACTAGTGACTCAGTACTTACGTCTTCCAAGGAAGTGAATTCTTGTGGAATAGTGGACTTAGGCGTTCAATATATCTGTACCACTCCTTACTCCCTATTTTTATAGATGAGTAAATGAGATACATAGCCAAGGCTACAGATTTGTAAAGAAGCAAAGTTTATTAGAACAAAAGGCCTCAAAACATGAAGACTTAGTGTGAAGAAAGTAAACTAAGCCAAATGTCCTTCGACCACTTACGGAATGCATTTTTCTGCTCCATTTCATCAAAGTGTAAAAACTGAGTATTCAGTCCTCACCGACATCTACACTTTCAGAGTGTGATGGGTCAGAAGGTTGCCCCATAGGTCTCAGAGTCAGTTTGGATGGGCCTGTGGTGGTGGTGAGACTTCTGGCTAAAGCCTTGCCCACACCTCCCACACCTAAGGCTTCTCCTCCTGGTGTGTCGTCTGATGTAAGATGAGGTATGACTTCTGGATAAAGCCTTGGCCACACTCTCTGCATACACAGGGCTTCTCTTTTGAGTGGACCCACTTATGTGTGATTAAAGCGGACTTATCGCTAAAGCCTAGTCCACACTGCCTGCACGTGTAAGGCTTCTCCCTCGAGTGTTTCCTCTTGTGCCTGATGAGACCTGCCTGGTGACTGAAGCCTCGCCCACACTCCCTGCACACGTATGGCTTTTCCCCCGAGTGTGTCCTCTGGTGGGCAACGAGGTTTGACTTCTGGCTGAAGCCTCGCCCGCACTCCTCACACACCATGGGCTTTTCCCCTGAGTGTGTCCTCTGGTGTCTGATGAGATTTGATTGCTGGCTGAAGCCTCGCCCACAATCCTTGCACACGATGGGCTTATCCCCTGAGTGTATGTTCTGGTGTCTGTTGAGGTGCGACTTCAGACTAAAGCCTCGCCCGCACACCCCACACACGTAAGGCTTCTCCCCGGTGTGCGTCCGCCGATGTGAGATGAGGGTTGAATTCTGGCTAAAGCTGTGCCCACACACCCCACACACGTAAGGCTTCTCCTTTGAGTGTGTCCTCTGGTGGTTGACAAGGGTCGTCCTCTGCCTGAAGCACCGCCCGCACTCCTTGCAGGCATAGGGCTTCTCCCCCGAGTGCGTCCTCTGGTGTGAGATGAGGTTCGACCTGTCGCTGAAGCCCAGTCCGCAGTCACCGCACACGATGGTCTTCTCCTCTAGGTGTGTCCTCTGGTGTCTGACGACAGCGGACTTCTGGCTGAAGCCTTTCCCACACTCCCGGCACACGTAGGGCTTCTCCCCCGAGTGCGTCCTCTGGTGGATGATGAGGTTGGACTTCTGACTAAAGCCCCGCCCGCACGCGCTGCACATGTAGGGCTTCTCGCCCGAGTGGGTCCGCTCGTGGATGATGAGCGTGGACTTCCGGTTAAAGCCCCGCCCACACTCGCTGCACACAATGGGCTTCTCCCCCGAGTGTGCCTTCTGGTGCCTGGCAAGGCTTTTCTTCAGACTGAAGCCCTTCTCACACACCCCGCACACGTACGGCTTCTCGGCCGAGTGTATCCGCTGGTGACTGAGCAGGTTTGTCATCTTGCTGAAGCCCAGCCCACACTCTCCACAGTGGACTGTCCCAAACCCCAAGGCCTCCATCCTCCTCAGCAACGCGCCCGTGCCCTCGGGACTCCCCGTGGGCGCGGGGCTGGCCTCTACTGCCACCCCGCCGGTGCCCGTCCTGGGGCCGCCTGGTTGCCTCGGGGGGGCCCTGGAGAATGCTGCTGAAGTTCTTTTCTTTGTCTTTCCGAAGGCAGGCCTGGCGCCTTCTCTCTCTGGACCCTCTGTTTTGTCACTCCAGCAGCTTGGGTCAGAGGCTTCTTGCTGCTTTCTCTGGCTTCCCTGGCGCAGATCCCCTGGCTGGGCGTGACTGTCTGCACACAAGCACGGGAAGATCCAGGGGGGCTGGCCGCACAGCACGTGCTGCACGTGGAACTTCTGACTGGGGAAATCCGGGGCGCAGAAAGCACGGCGCAGGAGCTCTGGCGTCGGCTCTCCTGCAGAGAGATGAGTGAGAGTCAGGACTGGGACGGGGCAACCCGGTAATTCTGCCGAGTCTGATGGCAAGACTTAATTTCCTGTTCTTCAAAATGCTTAAAACCTAAGTGCTACTCAAATAAGACCTTCCTTTATATGATCACCTTTCCAGCCCATCACAACATCTTCCAATTTCCAATACAATCCAGAAAGTCCACTGCTAAACCTATCCTAGTATCAGACTATAAAAGCATCACAGTCAGTTTCCGCTCTGAAAATAGGGCTCATATGCAACAGTCTCCCCCCTACCCCCACCACAATTATCTACTCACAACCACCCACACTAATATAAACTGTGTCCGCATGTATTTTCTTTGACTGAGAGATCTCTAACTAGAGGACCCCTGTGGAAATGTCATGTCTTTCCCTATTTCCCTATGAACAAAAGGAGAGACAGAGAGAGCAGTCATTCAGACTGGAGAACTCCTAGTGTAAGCAATAGCACAAAAAAAGTGGCTAAACAGATCATGTGTGAGATGCCTGAACTAGTTTCCCCACCCACCTACAAATATTTATCAGGGTTTCTTTGTGCCAGAATTCCTACAAGGCAGTAGGTCTACAGCAATGGGCAACACAAACAGCCGTAAGCGATGCTCCTTGCTGGTGCTCCTGACCAATTCAAGCCCTGATAATTTCTATAAATAATATAAATAAAAGTTTCCCCTGAAATCAATACAAAAGAAAATTTTCTTCTTATAGTACCTCTTGTGTAGGAGATCCCAACGTTAAAAGCAGTGTTTCATCGCAACTGGTTCTAGTCAGCTGAAGGCAATAAAATGACCACACAATTTGAAACACCAGGTACACTCTTTCCTTGGTCAATGAACTGAACTTCTGAAAATCAACTGTGTACCCGGCTACATTCCAGAATCACTGCATCCTATATAAAATGCTATGGTATTTAGAGATAGGGCCTTTGAAGAGATAGTTAAGGTTAAAAGAGCTCATACGGGTGGGGCCCTAACCCAATATAAGTGTTATCTTTACAAGAGAAACATGAGCAACAGGGATGTGTGCACACAGGGGAAAGGCCAGGTGAGGGCAGAGTAAGAAGTCACCCAGCTGCAAGCCAAGAAGACAGGCGTCCAGAGCAACTAAACCTGCTGACACACTGATTGTCCAAGAACTCTAAGCCTTCAGAACTTAAAAAAATATTCTGTTTATGCCCCCTAGTCTGTAGTATTTTGTCTTGGCAGCCTTTACTTCCTTTGCCCTGATCTTTCCTATCACTGCAGTCAAGCGCCTATGCATCTGCCCCATGGTCAGCCCCTAAGTAAGTCCTATGAAACATCAGTTATTACAATAAATGTGAAAGGGCCACAGTTCCTATTATAAAAGACAATTGGTTCCGCATAAAATGTAATACCAGTTACATGCTACTGCTTAAAAGTAGAACACCCAAATCACATTATTTTTATTTAAAAATAAAAGAATAACACAGAAATACTATACCAAAAAAATACACAAGAAAGTGAGCACTAAGACTAACCAGAAAGAAAATTTAAAAGGAGTATCACATGGAACGAAGAGAATTTTAATGTTAAAAACTTCATTAATAAATGGATTAAATTGTGATGAATCTTTATATACCTAACATTTTACTGAAGTAAAATATAAGGCAAAAACTTAGAAATAACTGGAGGACTTAATATAAATTACAATGACATTGCGGAGCTTTATGACTCTTCCTAGTGCATGAAAAATAAGGACATAACTTGAAAAATAGAAATAATTTCTATTATACATGCTATAACCCCTCAATTCTAGGAAAATTAATTGTAAGGCTCTCTTTTAAATTTAATAAAACAGAGAAACAGAAAATTTCTTAAAAACACAAAACATATACTTCTCTGTGCATGAATCATTTATAAAACTGTCAAAAGTATTTTAAAAATTAAAACATAATTCCTTAAAATTATCTATATTTCTATCATTTAAAAATAATTCCAAGGAAAAAGAAAAGTTCCCAGAAACACCTGCCCTAATCTCTCCAATTCTATCCCCACTGAAGTAATCACTAGTCATGGTAAACAACAATACAGACTTCTATGTTCATATAAACATTTTGGTATATAGTCTTTCACATACTTCTCTTTTTTAACAAAAACTGAACAACACTGTTTTGCAACTTTTTCATTTAATAATATATCCATTAAGTACCTGAGTTATTCTGATGAAGGTAAAGGAAAATCTGCTTATCATTAATAAACAGATAGAAAATAGAAACACAAACGCAGAAAATTATAATAAAAGTAAATAGAAATGACAAAACTGAAAAAATAAAATACTTGAAATGAAAAATGCACTGGCCAGTGCTTAATAGCATACTGGAGATGACAGAAGAGACAGTAAACTTGAAAACAGATGAACAGAAATCATCCAATGTGAATAAGAGAAAAAAAGATTTAATAATACAGACAGGCTCCATAACCTGTGGGCAATGCAAAGGGACTAATACACATTTAACTGTACAGGGCAGAGTACAGTTAAATGGGGGGAGGGGAGTACAGGGCAGAAAAAACCACATGAGGAATAATGGCTGAACATTTCCCAAATTTGGCTCTAGCCATCAATTTACAAATCAATTTAAAAATCTCAGTGAACCCCAAGCAGGAAAATACAAGAAAGGAATGTCTGAACAGTCACATCAGAGACAAACAGTGAAGCACCAAAAATACAGAGAAAGGTCTGAAAGTAGCCAGAGGGGAGGAAGAAAAGTTAACAAAAAACAAGGTAACAATTATGGAAATGACAGCTGACTTCTCATCAGAAACAATGGAGGCCAGAGCAAGGAAACAATCTCTTAAAATTGCCTCAAAGATAAATAAACCAATCTAGAATTCTATACCCAATGAAAATATCCTTCAAGAGTAAAGGTGAACTAAAGACACATTCAGAAAAACAAAACATAAGCAAATACACTGCCACCTGCACCACACGGAATGCTAAACAAGTACTTTAGCCTAAAATCATACCAAGTGGAAACTCAGGTCTCTAGGAAAAAAATGAAGAGTACAGAAAATGGTAAATTATCTGAATGCATATAAAATATTTTTTCTTGATTAAAAAATGCATATTGTATTAGGATATTTACAATGTATGTAGGTATAATACAAATGACAACTACAGAATAAAGAATGTTAGGGGAAGGAGTAATTGGAACTGTGCAATTGCAATGTTTTTACATTTTTACATAAAGTAGTAGCCAGGATAAGTAGGAGAAGAAAAGCTGGGATTACATATCTTCATTCCTTAGAGCACGGGTCAGCAAACTTTTTCTTAAATGGTCAGATAGCAAATAGTTTATGCTTTGAGGGTAAGAGGTAAAAATGAGGATACTATATAGTTACTTATATAACCATTTAAAAATGTAAAAACTATGTTTGGCTCACAGTTTTTTAAGAATTCCATTTCAATTTCTCAGTTGGATTTTTAGCCTTCCTTCCTTCCTCTCCTGGGCTTGCCTTATTTCTTTAGCTCACTCAGATTTTTTCCTCAGTCTTCCTTGATCTTTAAAAAAAAAGTAACAACAGAAAGAAGTCTATGAATATGGAAGAGAACTGAGTGAGGTAGAGAGGGGAACTCAGGAGAAGGAAGAAAGGCTTCTAGTGGAGGAAGACACACCAGGAAAGCCCCTCACTGGGGTAAGGATGAAGGTCTGGAAGGGAGGCCATGCCAGGCAACGCAAACAGCAGTGGGGAGGGGAGGTGTGTGTCTTCCCTCTGTGACCCCTGAGCAATACCTCCTCTCCCCCACCTCCTGAGCTGCCCACAGCTCTATGATTCATTGGCCAGTGTTCCCCACTCACCTGGACAGGTGGCTGGTGGGCATTTTCTCTCCTCTCTCCAGGTTTCTTTCCCTTGCTCCAGCTCGGTGATGAGTTTTGGTTTCGAAAATGGAATTCCTGCTCACAGGAAAAGAAAACAAGGCAGCTGCACGTTATGGACTAAAGGGCCAAGTCAGAAGGCAAGATGGCTGCTTCAAGCATATCCTACAATGCCCAGCAGCATGAATGGAAGTCTTAAGAGATGCCAGGCTTACCCAGCGAGACCAGGTTGCTGTAGTTTTCCAGCATTACCTCCCTGTACAGGGATCTCTGAGCAGGGCTCAGCAATATCCACTCCTCCTGGGTGAAATCCACAGCCACATCCCTGAATGCCATGTGTGCCTGTAACACAAAATACAGCCCTGCTCATCAAGGACCCAGCCTTGCCCATGACTCAAGGTGGGGGCAGGGAGAAGGCTTCCCTGGGGCAGGCAAGAGAGATATCTAAATCCTGCCTTTGACTTCAACCTTGGTGCCCTGTGTTCCAAGACTTTTATACCACTGTGGCTATCCAGCAAGCAGCACTTCTGAATCTACAATTCAAGATCCTGGGTGAGCTATTTGGAGAATATATGCAAAAAAGAGTCCCTAACTCTCAGAAACTTTAAATGTAGGCAGAGAGAAGAGTGGACAACATATAAAAATTAAACAATAGTAAAACATAACATATTTTCTGAGTTTTAAGAATTTAAAAGATTAAATAGCATAACCAACTGAATCAATATTGAAGCACCTGAGTGACTAAAGTTCATATAATTCAATAATGGCACAGGGAGACTGGAAATACTACTGCCTGGGAAAATTCAGGAGTGTTCTACTGTGGGATCACATCTGAGCTCAATCAACAAGAGTTCATACCGAAGCAGAGGCATGGAGAAAGCATAGGATGGAATATATTCTCATGCAGCTGTAAAACAAGATCTGACAAGGGTGGGTGTAGGGGAAGAGACTGAAAAAGTGACTTGCAGGAGAAGTTGGAAATAATAATCCTAACAATTATTATTTCCTATATACCAGGTGCTTTAACTTCATCACAAGTGTTATCACAGCCAACATCTCTGTGAGGTGGACACCACTGATTACTCCCATTCTACAGATGAGGAAAAGAAGGCTCAGAGAGGTAAAGTAACATGCTCATGGCTGCACAGCTAGAATATGGTGAAGCTGAGATCTGAACCTGAGCAGTCTGACTTTGCAGTTTGAACAGAAGCTAAACAGATTATTGAAAAGGTCTCTTTCAGCCCTAGCCAGTTTGGCTCAGCGGTTAGAGCATCAGACTACGGATTGAAGGGTCCCCGGTTCGATTCCAGGCAAGTGCTGTACCTCAGTTACAGGCTCAAACCCTGGCCCCTGTCGGGGTGCATGTGAGAGGCAACCAATTGATGTGTCTCATACTGTTGTTTCTCTTTCTCTCCCCCCCTTCCACTCTCTCTGAAAAGCAATGGAAAAAATATCCTCAGGTGGATTTAAAAAAAAAAGGGTTTCTTTCTAGCAGGTTAAATGACAGGTTAGTACATCATGTACTGCAGACATTTCAGTCAACAACAGACCACATATACCATGGTGGTCCCACTAGATTATAATAAAGCTGAAAAAAATCCCTCTTCCCAGTGACGTTGTAGTGCAACGCATTACTCATATGTTTATGGTGATGCTGGCACATCTGTATGGCACATCTGATAATAAGTAACTGTTACTGGTTTATATATTTCTATACTATTTATTATTATTTTAGTGTCCTCTTTCTACTTACATAAAAAAGTTTGCTGTGAATCAGTGTGCCGTGTTATGCCAGCAGCAGCCTCATGCATCTCATGCTTACCATGTTTCTTAATTGCATCATTTCCTCTTGTGCTTGACTTAATCTCAAGTTGTTTTATAAACTTAATGTAGCTTAAGTGAACATTATTTATGTTGGGCAAAGGAAACCCACCAGTAGTTCAGCATGCAAAGGGTAAGTGGGACCCTACCTGAAGCAGGGCTGTCAGGAGCCCGGGAGTCCTCCCTTTGCCCACTAGACAGTCCTCTCTGGGCAGGCTGGAGCCATAAGGGGGCAGAACAAGAACAAAAAGATTCAGGAGAGTCACTGGAAACCCTCATGATCCAGCAGGGTAGAGATTCCTCTTCCTTAAAGCATTAGGAATGGACCTGTCACATTAGAAAAGACTGTGGGCAGCTTGCTGGGAAGAGAGCTGGTAAGTGGGCTGTGAACACTGCCTGCTCAGACCTGCTACTGCTACTGACACTGACCCTGCGCTGGTCCAGTCTCACCTTCGCTCTCAGTAAGGAAAGTTAATACCTACCAGGCACTTGGTATATACTAGAGACTGTTCCACGCACTGTACAAGTTTTACCTCATTCTACCCTCCCAACCCAATGAAGTATGACTTCTTATCTTCATTTTACAGATAAGAAAATTGAGACACGGTCAGGTCAGTCTCTTGCCCAAGGGGACACGGCCATACAGTGACAGAGCCTGGATGAAATGTGGCTGTGGAGGCCATGCTCCTGAACAGGGCAGCGATAAGAAACCACTGTGGACTGTAAGGGTTCTCGGGGTATCGTTCTGAGGTGAAATCAAGAGTGGTCACGAGGTGATAGGCGCTGAATCTGGGTGATGGGTCTGTGAAGTTCTATCTACTTCTGTCTTAAATTTTTCCATAATAAAAAGTTAAAATGAAACTTAAAATCCCAAAGCCTGGCCACACCGGAGATGTGGGAATTCTCGATTCCTGTGGTTAGTGACAGTCCCCAGAATCTCTGAAAAACTTGCCCAGTGGGCCTCAGCCCCACTTCTTCCTCCAAGGCCGGAACCCAGGGGCGAACCGCCAATTTGAGACCCTAAGGTGGCGCCCAAATGGCCCTTCTAACACCTCGTCCAAGCCAGGGACGTTTGACCAAGCCCGCCAGCCCCACACCCCGCCTCCCCACAGCCAAGGGTAGTGGGGCTCGAAGTAAAACTATGAGCGCCCCTAAAACCCCAGTGACAGCCCCGGGGGCTTGTGGCATGAGCGACCCCCTCTCCCAACATCGCTATTTCGGCCAAGGCCGAACGTGTACCAACCCACAGGAACCCTAGGACGACAGGCCGGAGCCCAGAGCCCACCACCACTGGGCTTCAAGGCTGAGCTTCACCCACGTCGGAGATGAGCGCCCACACCCCCAAATAAGACATCCGGTGGAGCACGGCCTGAGCCACGACAGCACGTCCCCGCCACTACCTCCTCACCCCGCCTTGTGCACCCACCTCAGCCCCAGCCCACGGCCAGCCTTTCACACCTACCTTCCTGAGCAGCGAAGGGCACGGCTGAGGCAAAGGTGCCGCGGGAGCCTCACTCACCAGCGCCACCAAAGAACAAGGGGTCAGTCCAGCCACCAGCTGGGGATCTACTCCAGCGGCGCGGCCGGACTACACTACCCATAATCCGCGGGGCGGCGCCCGGACCACACCTCCCAGGATGCTCTGCGCAACCAGAGCGCGCCGCCGGCCCGCAGCTCCCCTTGCCCTCGGAGGGAGCCGCTGCTTCTGGATAACTTGCTCGGGTCTCTGGAGAGTGACCCCTGCGGCCTCTAGATTCCCACTCTCTTTTCTTCAAACCACTTTCACAAAATATGTACAGGGCCATGGGCGCAGCACTCCGCCGTGGCCGGACCCCTCCGCTAACGCCTTCGCCTCAAAGACTACACTCCCCAGTGACGCCTGCAGCGACTTCCGCATCCGGCGCCGGCCCGCCCCTCGGCGCGCGGAAATGACGTCTCCCGGGGGCGCCTGCTTTTCGGACGCTGGGGTCGAGGCGGGTCGGAGGCGGGTCGGCGGGGAAGCTCCGAGCTCCTCCTGCTGCTGGAGCGCCGGATGGGTGTGGGCTCGTCCAGTTGGCCTACCCTTTAAACTTCGTTTAAACGAACCCATGGCGAACCGAGAGGTACAGCATTCTCCCCGGGGCTCCTCAAAGCGAATTGGACGCTGAGTCTGCGCTCAGGCCCTCCACCCAGGCCCTCCACTGCCGGTGCCCTGAGACCTTTTTCCTCAACTGGAGTCCACAGAATTACAGGCAAACTCACTTCTCTCTCCTGGACCATAGCGTGGGGCTGAGCCCGTCGTCGGGTCGGCCCTCTGGGTCTTCTCTCGGGGCCCTGGTTGAGAACGGCGGTGCAGGGCCCACCTGGGACCCCTCTACTGGGGAGCCGGAGAGCAAGCCCCACGTCGCCCGTGGGAGCGCATCTCCACCCGGACACCGTCTCGCGTCTCTTTACCTTACTTGGGTAGGCTTTCTGAAACTTACTCCTTTCCAGGAAGACCAGAGACTTTCTGCATGTCCCAGAGAACCCGGTAGAGACGAGAATTTTCTAAATTTTCTTCTACGCTCTTGCAGGATGAATCCATTCCCGTCTCTTGCCCGCAGGCCGCCTTGTTCGTAGTGAATTCAGTTCAGCCCTGGCCCCGGATAAGTGCCTAGTTTTACTTAGAACCTTCTCAGGCCTCTTTCACGGGCCCACCTGTGTCCCAGTCATTTACCTAGAAACGAGCTGTAACGCTCGGGGGTTCAAAGTAACAGTGCAGGGACGTCCGTGTTTAAGTTTCCAGTGATGCTTGCTGTATGCGAAAGGCAGGGATCTCAGGGTCCTGGTGGTAAGAGACCAGGAAGGCTTCCAAGATGAGGGGCTGTCTGAGCTGCTGTGAGGGGAATAGGCGAGAAGAGTTGGAGAAAGGCCGGTCTCAGGGTCTGAGCCACTAGGAAGACTGCCCTGGCTTCAGTGAGGGTGGTTTTCAGTAGCAAAAGGTCTTGCATCCGTCTGATTTTCCTTGCATATAGGCAAGGATGTCATCTAGCTGTACAACCGGGCCTATAGATGTTTTGTTTGGCCAGCCTCATGTTTCATATTTGAAAGTTCTCAGCATTTAATAATTAGGAGTTTCCATGTAGAACTCTGGATTGTCTGCTTTCTAAAAACACTCCTTGCCTCTTTCTCCTTCCTAGAGTATGTCCCACCCCACTCCACCCCTCATCTGGAGTATCTTGCTTGCTCCCCCCCTTCCCTGACCCTTCTAAATCCTATCCATCCTTCAAGAACAAATTCCCAGCCCTCTTTCATGAAACCTTCCCTAATCTCTCTCCTGTGGTGACTTGAGATTCCTCTGACCCTGGCTGTACCTGGAAGCTTTTAAAAAGACAGTGCCTGAATACCACCTGCAAGAGATTATAAATTTGGGGTGAGGCTCTGGCATCCATTATTCATACAAAGCTGCTTTCACCCCAAGAAAGGAAAGTCATGTAGAGAAAAAACCTGTTTTAGAAAATCGGAAGTTTAATTGTTGGTTAGTTGTTGCTATTATTGATCTGCAAACGTGGGCATATCATTTGACCATAGTGCTTCTCAAATGTTAATGTGCATACACATATCATGTGGGATTTTGTATACATGCAGGTTCTGAACCAACATGCCTGGGATGGAGCCCAAGCATCAGCATTTTAAAATATATTTATTTCAGAGAGAAGAAGGGAGAGGGAGAGCTAGAAATATCAATGATGAGAGAGAATTATTGATTGATCGCCTCCTGCATGGTCCCCAATGGGGATCATGCTGGCAACCTGGGCATGTTCCCTGTCCAGGAATTGAACTGTGACCTGGTTCGTAGGTCAGTGAGCCACACTGGCTTGGCTGGAGTAGTTTTTTAACCACATATTTCAATTACTCATATTCAAAAAGAAGATTATGAAAAACATAAAGCAGTTGGAGTATTTTTTTAATATGTCTTTATTGATTTCAGGGCAAGGAAGGGAGAGGGAGAGAGAGAGAAACATCAGTGATGAGAGTCATTGATCAGCTGCCTCCTGCACGACCCCTACTGGGGATCAAGCCCGGAACCTGGGCATGTTCCTGATCTCCTGGATCATAGGCTGATGCTCAACCACTGAACCACGCCGGCAGGGCACAATTGGAGTAATTTTTAACCACGTATTTTAATTATTCAAATATTAAAATAATTTAATATTTCCATATTAAATTAGATTTACTTGAATTTATAGGAAAAAAGGGAAATGACTCTAAATGAACTTTGAACATCAGCTAAATATTTATAATATGACCCCTCTCTAAAGATAAGGAATAGAAGATTATGAAAAAGCAATTGGAGTTAATTTTTTAACCACATCGATTTTAGACAGTACCTATTGATTTCTTGCTGTGAGAAACGTGGAAATAGGCATATATATTATATACATGTATATATATGTGTGTATATATATATTTCTCCAACACTCAATTTTTGTGAACTGTTTATTCTGGAAAAATTTACATATTTACATTCTATAAATTACACTAATTCCTATAAACACTCTTGAATCTATATTAAATTGGATCCTATGCTCTCTAATATTCCATTTATCGCAGCTTTTCTAAATGTGAGTTTTTCATTAATGTCACGATTTTGTTGGCTGGATTTCAGCAAGTAATTTTTGTGATCTTAATTTTAAAAAAGACAGAAGAGACTAGAATTACAAGTTCAGCTTCCCTTGATGGGAGTGCTGGTCAGGGAGTACAGCTTCTTTCCTTTTTGAGATTTAACTATCTATGTGACCACATTTGAGTTCTCTGGGCCCCAGTTTCCCCATTTCTAATATGTGTGCTTGAACTAATTATCTCTAAGGTCCTATTCAGGAATGAAAGGACAGGTGGTTTTCTTACCTTTGACCAAAGAACTAACTCATGCACTGAAAGCCCTGCCTGGTTTCCAAGCCGGCTCATCACCATTGAGCAGCAGGGGGCGCCCTAAACACTGTGATCCATTCCTTTCCCTCCAGGCCCGACCTCAGTTGCAGGCTCCATTACGGCCTTAGTAGGGGTGCCTTCTGTAGGCAACCAATTCATGTGTCTCTCTCACATGGATGCTTCTCCCCACCTCCACCCTCGTTTGCACTGTCTGAAAAGCAATGGAAAAAATATCCCCCAAGGACGATTTAAAAAAATAATATAAACAAGTGAAGGTATAATAGATGTAAGTTGCATTTCTTTATTTGAAATTAATTTTAACAGCCCTGCCAGGCATGACTCAGCAGTTGAGTGTTAAACTAGGATCCAGGCGATCTGGGTTTGATTCCCGGTCAGGCGGGCTCGATACCCAGTCAGGGCGTGCAGGAGGCAGCTGATCAATGACTCTCATCATTGATGTTTCTATCTCTCTCTCTCCCTCTCCTTGCTTCTCTCTGAAATCAATAAAGATATATTTTTTTTAAAAAAATTAATTTTAACAGCATTAAAATATAATTGGCGGTATTCTTGATGATATGTTGATAGAGACTGAATATTTGTGTCCCCCCAGAATTCATGTGTTGAAACCTAGTTCCCAGTGTGAAAGTATTTGGAGATCCGACCTTTGGGAAATGACTGGGTCTTGAGGGCAGAGCCCTCATAAATGGGATTAGTTACCTTACAAAAAAGATCCAGAGCGGTCCTCACACTTTCCACCCTGTGAGGACGCAGTAAGAAGATGGCCATCTGTGAACTAGGAAGTGAGCCCTCGGAATCTGCCGGCACCTTGTTATTGGTCAGACCTTCCAACCTCCAGAACTGTGAGAAATAAATAGTTGTTGTTTGAACCACCCAATCTAAGGTATTTTTGCCATAGCAGCCGGAATGGACTAAGACTTGTGTTCACGTAAGAAAACATCTTCCACTTAAGAAATTGCTAAGCGAATCATAGCGAAAACCTTAAGTCAGGATATCTCTGGCCACCTTCTCCATTTCCACAAGGTATAAGCTGAAGCTGGAGATGCTACACATTTCCTTTTGGTAAAAGAACATTGCATCTAATTGTAGTAAGAGTTTAAGCCTGGTTATATCTTGAATTGTGCTTGTTCTGGCTAAAGACTGGATTCCAGATTGATAACAATAGTATAATTCCAGCAACTAGGGAATGAATGGATCGTGTTTCCTTTCAGCCTTCTAATATTTGGGTGAAATGAATATAGTTCCTGCTTTTACATTTCTCACCAGTGAACCAACCATCTTCAGCAGGAAAGGAAAGCTTTCACTAGTCCAGATAGCATCTTTGTGCAAAGTAGAAAAATGCCTTTTCCTTAAGGCACTTTACCTCCATCTTCTTGAAATTTTTCCTAATAGATTTTTATTTCTACCAGGTCTGATATGTGAATTGCACTCCCTAATTTTTCTCAGTGCACACCCTGCACGGTGATACCAAGCAGCTCTCCTGATAGTTCTAATCAAGCCCTGTAAGAGAGAACTAGAAGACCAACATATTTCATAACTTAATTTTGTAGTTGCTTTCTGTCTAC